TTATGTTTTCTTATCCAGTCTGCAACTCTCCATCTCTTGAGTGGTGCATTTAGCCCATTAACATTCAGTGTAATTATCAAAAAGTATGAATTGGTTGCTGTTATTGTGTTATGTGGTTTTTTGTGGTGTTCCTAATTTCTTTGTTCCACATAATTTTCTGTGCTGAGCTCATTATGTTTATGAATCAAGTTATCATTTCCTTTGTTGCTACTGTTTTAGTATTCACTAAATATTTGCGCTTGTCCTCCTCTTTTATTGTGATGTGAAGATTTATCATGTTCCCTTTGAGGTACCCTGTGATTTCTAATTTTCTCCCCAAGTTTAGAACACTCCATTCTATCTTGCAACTCTCTTGACTTTCTCACCATTTATAAGTTCTGTAACTACACTATTTTTCCCCTCACTTTGTTTTGTAGTTGTCCTCATTTGCCAATTGATGTCTCTGGTTCCCTGTTTACAATCTTGTAAGCTTATTTTATTTTGGATATGTCCATACCTGTGGTTTCCGGGTTATGTCATCTTGTGTTAATACGGTTGGTTGTTGTTTGCTATTATTGGTTCTCTGTTCAAAGGACTTCCTTTGGTATCTCTTGTAAGGTTGGTCTGTTTTAACAAATCCCCTTAATTTCTGCTTATCTGTAAATCTCCCAATTTCACCATCATATTTGAGGGACAATTTTGCCAGGTATATAATTCTTGTTTGGAAATTTTTCTCTCAGGGTTTTATATAAACCATCCCATTGCCTTCTCGCTTGCATGTTTCTGCTGAGAAATGAGAGCTTAGTTTTATTGGTTGTCCTCTGTATGTAACTTTTCATTTTCCCCCTGCTGCTTTCAGAATTTTTCCTTTGTGTTTGGTTTTGATGAGTTTGATGATGTCTTGGTAATTTTCTTTCGGGGTCTATCCTGTTTGGGATTCATTGGAATTCCTCAATAGATATATTCTTATTTTTCATCATATCAGGGATGTTCTCTTCCAAGAAATCTTGGACAATTTTCTCAGTGTTTTTTTCTTTTCCTGTTCTGGAATTCCAATGACACGTAGGTTATTCCTTTTGATGGTATGCCACATGGACCTTAAGCTTTCTTCATTTTATTTTGATCTTTTTTCTGATTAATCCCTTTCCAAAGAAGTATTCAGGTATTTTTCTTCAATCTCATTAATTCTGTCTTCCACTGATTCAATTCTACTCTTTTGCCCTTTCAATGTGTTATCTATCTCTGAAAATTTAGTATTAATCTTCTGGATTTCTATCTTTAGATTTTGAATCATTTCAAATTTTTCATTTATTTTGTCATTTTGTCCTTGTATTTTCTTCCAAAATTGGTCTAGGGTTTTGCCTGTGTTTTCCTTAATTTTGTCAGTGTTTTCTTTGATCTGTCTCTCAATCCTCTGAATATATCTTACTACAATTCTTTTGAATTCCTTGTCAGGGAGTTCCAATGCTGCTTCTTCCCCATGTGTTCTAGGTCTGTATCCTGCTTCATTGGTTCTACCACTTTATCTTGCTTCTTTGTGTGGACTGTGATGGTCTGTTGTCTCTGAGACATTGTGAGGTTGTTGCATTTAGGTCTCTGTTAACTGTTTGTGAAGAGCAGTTAAGGGGGTGAATCAGGCTCTTCTTGGTGGTCATTTATCGCTGGTCAGTTAGTAAAGAAGGAAGTGGTGGCTCTCACTCAGTAAGTGGAGCTGCAGAGGTGCAGGTGTGGTTGCGTCATATGGGCACTGTTGCTGTCTTCGAATGAAAAACCATCAAAAAAGTAAAAGCAAGCAGACAAAAAACACACCACATAAACACAGGAACAATCACCAAAAAAAAAGGAAAAACAAAAGAAAAAAATAAATAACTGCAATATATGGGGAGAGGGCAGTAAGAGAAAAAAGGGAGAGTAGGAGAATGATGAAGAAAAAAAATGGGAAAAATGGAAAAAGAAAACAAGGAACAGGGTTAACCATGAGAAAGAAAAAAGTAGAAGGAACCAGAAATAGAGAAAAAAATGAAAACTAGAATCTGGGACAGGAAGTATAAATAATAATACCAAAAATGACAATAATAATAATAATTTTAAAACAGACAAAAGCAAACACACTAAAAAAAAGGAAAAAAAATATCTGGGTGGGATGGGAATGGAACCCAGGCTCTGTCTGAGCACACAGACCAGGATGGAATTCCTGCCAGCCCAGAAGGTGGGTGAGAGTGAGGGAGGGCCACACATCCATCCACCAAGGGGGTGTGGGGTATAAGAACAACAAGGGGAATATCGCACCTTTTCAGTTGTTGGCGTCCAGAATGTCCTTGTGGTTCCCAGCAAATGGAGCCTATTCTTAGATCCCTGGAAGCTGGGAGAAGACTGTTGCTTTAAATATCTAAAACGGTCTAAGGTCTTGTAAGCATTCAAAATGGCTGAACCCTCTGGACAGGCAAAAGTCCCCAGCTCAGCCTGCCTTGCTCTTCGCTGCTTCCCCTTTTATTCACCAGCCACTAGAGCAGTCCTCCGTGCAGCCCCTGGCTAATGGCTGATTTTAAGGTTAATTCTTAGGCCTGAATGCCACTTGGCAATATCCGAGCTGTCTGTGCCGTTAGGATCACTGCCAAACCACAGCTCCATATGTCTCCTTTTGTGGTGTTTTCATGCAAATTCTTCTACTAGTTGGAATTTAGTCCACTTCTATATCCCTCCCTTCAAAGCTCAGGACTCTAGGATTATCTTCTGTATCTGTGTTAATTGGTTCCTCATTTCTTTGTTGAAGAGGGTCTGTGCAGTCTGTCTGCCTATTCCACCATCTTACCGGAACTCCTCAACTCAATATTTTAATCATTCATTGTTTCAAATATTATTCGTTCAGAACACGTACATTTTTCAGGACGAGTAATTCCCACTTCCAAATTGTTAAACTATTAGTAAGAGTGATAAATATAGTTTTTCAAATATAGATTAGATTACAGTGCAATTCTCACATCACAATTTCTACACTATAATGTAATCCATCTCTTAATTTTTCAAAACAGGTTTATTATTTATTACACATAAAAGGAATATAGTTTTGGTAGAAAATGTGAGAACAGAAGGATAAAAGGATAAAGAACATAAGGACGACATTTACACAGAGGCATTCGTGGCTAGCACTGTATATTGTTCTCTAGGCTTTGTAAAATAAGGGTGCCTTTGTACACACAATCAGTACACATGGGACAGTTGTGTAATGTAAGTGCTTTTGTATCCTGCCATTTTCTCTTAAAACATACCGTGAACATTTCCCCATGTCACAAAATTTTCCTTAAAAATGTTATTTTGCAGGCAGCATAGTAACCACTATTCATATTTCATTCTGTTGTACACGGGGTCGCTACGAGTCTGAGCTGACTCAACTGAACCTAACAACACAACATAGTATCCACTAAGGGAATCAACCATGATCTATTACACTGAAAGTCTATTGTTAGATACTCATAATGTAGCCAATGAGCTCTGCTGGAGCAGTGGTTAAAGCACTCAGCTCCTAATAAAAAGGTGGGCAGTATAAACCTACCAGCTGGTCAATAGGAGAAAAATGAGGCAGTCTGTTTCTGTGAAGACTGACAGCCTTGGAGACCCTCTGCAGCAGTTCCACTCTGTTCTCTAGGGGCGCTGTGAGTCAGGAACTGACTCCACAGCAGTGGGCTTGGTTTGGTTTTGCTTCTGTAAAGATTGACAACCCAGGAAACCCTGTGTTGCAGTTCCACTCTGTCCTCTAGGGGCGCTGTGGGGTCAGAATCGACTCCACGGCAGTGGGTGTGGTTGGGGCTTTGCTTCTGTGAAGACTGACAGCCTTGGAGACCCTGTGGGGCAGTTCCACTCTGTCCTCTAGGGGCGCTGTGAGGCTATGAGTCAAAATCAACTCCAAGGAAGTGAGTTGTTTTTTTTTAATTGTGATTTGGGTGAAAATTTACAGAGCAAATTCACTTTCCATACAGCAGTTCACATACACTTTGTCTCATGACATTGACTACTATTTACCCAAATGCATCAGCTCCCCTCCCACTTCCTCCCCATAGTTACCTCTTCCCTGTGTTCACTCCTCCATGCACTCCTGCCCCCTGAGCTGTCTCCCTGTGCACACACAGTCCTTCTTTCTCCCATGATTGATCTCTCCAAGGAGTGTATCTACCTAAGGTAAATGTTCCACTCATATGCCTGTCTTTTGTTTGGCTGGAAGTCACAGGTGTGGGTTCAGTTCCAGAGCTGAAGGGCAGCTAGGGGCCATAGTCTCAATGGTTCCACCAGGCTCTATCATACCAACAAACCTGGTCTCCCTTTTTTTTCTTTTTTTCCAAATGACTGGCAGTGGGTTTTTAATACCTAAATGAATCAATCCCTTTCACCCATTATACAATGGACATTGATTCCAACAAAACAGTATGAGGAGATGAAGCAAGAAGTACTCAAAGAAGAAAGAAGAGAAGTGAAGATGAAATGGTAATTTTTCAGTTACCGCACATTCAGTATACATATGAATTATGTCAAAATTTAACATTTTTTAAAGAAAGAAATCCCTTGGCTTTCAGAGAAGGTTCTCTGCTTTATGAGCAGAGGCACACGACAACCACAAGCCCGGTGTGGGACGCTGTGTTACAGTGTGAGATGGTGGGTGGTACACGAGGTCGATTACTAAACACAGTGACCGAGGAACTGTTTCCGGCATAACTCACCACATCCCGAAAGACAACTGCCCGCAGGCGATTGATGTCCACGTCCTGCAGAAGTCTGTCAGGGTCTTTAATAGGAGAAAGGTTGCCTGGGACACTTTCCAGTGGAGCCTTGGAAAGAAAAATGATGGGGAAGAAATAAAGCATTTCAGAAACCCCACAGAAGTATCATTTCTAGGATGTGCCAGTTCACCAGTCTCCGCCTCCACCTCCATGCGCCAACAGCTGGCCCCTCGCTACCCCTCACCAGTGATAAAATCTGGGGCCAAGAATAACCCAGGATAAGGCACTCGCTTTCACTGTTCACCTCCACACGTGACGCAGCTGTACTTCTTAGTTTCTTGTTCGTCACCAGTACAGCTACCACTGTTGTTGTTGTTGTTTGCTGTCGAGTCGGCCCCGACTCATACAGGCGCAAAAAGGCAGGTCAGGTTGTGGAGGGAAGAAATACTGATCTTGACCTCAGCAGTTCTGGCCTCAAGTCCTGGCTGTGTGACTTTGGGCTTGTTACTCAGTCTCTCTCAGGTGCACTTTCCCTACCTCTAGTCCTCAATCCTGCAGTCTCTGCACTCATTCATCCACCTTGCTCTGCCAGTCCGTGAGATTACCGTGTTATGGTATTACATGGGCTTTGATATGTGCAAGCCTCTTACAACCTATAGAAAGAAAGCTAGGATGGCATTTTAAAAAGAAAATTCAGTCATATCCTATGAAAACAGAAAGAAATTAAAAATAATTACCACCAAAATCCTTTTCATGACTGAAGAAACAAAAATACACAACGTTTAGGGCACACATAACACAGCCAACTGGTGAGGGACGCAGGTTCGTGGAAAGTCCAGCTAGCACTTCCTTACTTCCACAAGGTGTTCCTAACTGGGCAGCTTTCCCGAGAGAACACGTGAAGTGCAGACACCATTCCTGTGCACGCTGGTATGCACTGGTTGTTACACGAACCCATTAAAAACGCAAAGTCCTCTTCAGCTGCCCTTCCCTTTCTGCAGATCTGCAGCACAAGGTCTCCCTACCACGGCCTGACACCTGACTCCTGGGCGCCACAGGAGTGAGAAATGGCCTGGGCTGGGGAGTCTGGTTGTGATGTGGTTTCCATTATAATTCTGAAACTCGCCGGAGACATGACTTTGGATGAGATATTTAAGCTGTCAAATCCAGTGAGAGGAAGTAGGAGTGGTTGATGTGCCGTAGGAGCCATAGGGTAATAACATATGGATCAAAGGAAGATGAGACGCAATAACACGTGTAAAATTCAGAGCTGACCACATGGGCAAAACCACGGAGAAATACCTTGTACATCAATTTCCATTTCTCTGTGCGCAATCAGATTTGATCCTTGTAGCACCGCAATGACAGCGGGAGCGTGTACCGGGTGCCTATGCACACAACATGAAAATGAGGCCCCACGAAGTTACGTGACTCAGCAAGTCTGCACAAGCTCATGCTGAGGTACTTTGACACCAAAAACTTAAGGTTTCCAAACTAACAGGTTACACAGCACAGTGTGGAAACCCAAGAAGGAAAAACAACCCCCCTCAAGCAGGCCTGTCACAATGGACTGTGCAGTCCTGTGCTGTCACCAAGTCAACTCTTACCTACGATTCCTCTCACCTGTCACTCAATACCTACATCTCTGCCAAGTCTCCTGATAGAGAGACACAGCTGAGTTCAACCAAACGGCCACAGTCATCTTGTCACTGGGCTTGTCCATCTGTATTCTAAAACCAGAGCCATGCTGAGCTCAAACGCCTTCAAAGACTTCCCCCATTATCTAGTGAACCACATACAGATGCCCCTCAGATCAGAGCTCCAGCACGCAGGTGCGTTTGTTCACTGAGCGCATATGCTACGTGGTCACCACCAGAGGAGAAGAGGGAATCTTGTTAACTTCATGTTCACTACACGCCAAGAATCACCAAGCACTTTCATGCAAGACTGCTTTTACTGCACAGATATAAATATTCTGCAAAACAAGACTATGATCCCTTGGCCGGACTGAAAAAGAGAGGTTAAGAAGACAAACAGGCCTTAGGTTACACAATTAGTAATCAGCAGAATCAAGATACAAACTCAGATGTGTATGATTCCAGAGGGTGTGCTCTCTACAAAGTACTCACAGGGCTGTGCAGTCACACCGATGACGGGACAGGCACACTGCACTCACATCACTGACCGTCCACTCTACCTACACAGTATCACCCAGGCTGTGCAGTCACACAGATGATGGGACATGCACGCTGCAATCACATCTATGACTGTCCACTCCACCCACATAGTATCACCCAGGCTGTGCGGTCACACAGATGACGGGACATGCACGCTGCACTCACATCACTGACCGTCCACTCTACCTACACAGTATCACCCAGGCTGTGCGGTCACACCGATGATGGGACATGAACACTGCACTCACATCACTGACCATCCACTCCACCTACACAGTATCACCCAGGCTGTGCAGTCACACCGATGACAGGACATGCACGCTGCAATCACATCTATGACTGTCCACTCTACATACACAGTATCACCCAGGCTGTGTGGTCACACAGATGACGGGACATGCACGCTGCACTCACATCACTGACCATCCACTCCACCTACACAGTATCACCTAGGCTGTGCGGTCACACCGATGACGGGACATGCACGCTGCAATCACATCTATGACTGTCCACTCTACCTACACAGTATCACCCAGGCTGTGCAGTCACACCAATGACGGGACATGCACACTGCACTCACATCACTGACCGTCCACTCCACCTACACAATATCACCCAGGCTGTGCGGTCACACAGATGACGGGACATGCACAATGCACTCACATCACTGACCGTCCACTCTACCTACATGGTATCACCCAGGCTGTGC